GCCGTCCCGGGCCAATGGGGGTGGCGAGAAACGGCGCGGGCGAGCGATGTACTGGTTTGGCCCCACTGGTCCGGGACGGCGAACCGCGGCCAGTGGGGGCCGCGATCGGCCGAACCTGCCGCGTCAGCAGGTAAATAAAACTGGCCCGGCCCGCCAGGGTGCTTACCCTGGCGAGCCGCGTGCCAACGTTGCCGACCCCTGGGTTAACATGATCTCTGCTTTTCCATGTCGACATACATTAGGTGCCCCCAAATGGCGACATGGTATGCAATTTTGCATAAGGCGAGTATAACTGATGGTAACTTTGTTATCATAGGAATGTAATCCCATTATCTTGTAAAGCATCATGCTTACCTGTGTGTAAGCCCTAATTCTAACGCTTTTATAATTGTTTTTACATCTTGTAAAATATTTTTAAGTAAATATTTTTAAAACTAGTGTTCACCCTCAGCTTGGAATTCTGGTTATTTTTTATACTAATGTTCCCTTGACTCTCCACCTCAAAAATGAATGTATTTTAAATGTGACCCTTGCATTGGTTCTTAAACTTTGGGTTTTGGTATATTTTGAATTGACTGGTAGGTTACAGCAAGGGGTGGCTAACATTCAATGTTTTTTGTGGTCATGATATTGGCATCCTACCACAAACTTTGAAGCATTATGGAAGAAGCAGAGAAAAGACAAAGTGAAGCGGGTAAGAAGAGAGGGAAATACTCTGGTAGCATCTCTAAAATCTTGAGTGAGCAATTTAAAGTCAAGGGGGGATCATTAAGCATTTTAATCAGTATCCAATATCAGCATCGATCATTTCATCAAATACCAGCCAATCAAGCTGCCAGGATGCTGGTGGCGTAAAGCAAATTTCACATTAGGGAGGTATAATACAATTGAAGAGGAGCCATCATTCAAATTGACTAAGGGTGAAAACTTGGCCCCATTGAAGTCAGTGTCAACATTTCCACTGACTTCAATGGGGCCAAGATTTAATTCTAAATTTATCATCCGGAAGAAGGCTCTTTTCGTCTCACAACCTCATTCATTTTCCAGCAAACACAATACTAGGAAAGTAGTTACAAGAGCAAGCAACACATTAATTGAAAAGCAGTGTTCTCACTTTCCAAGTGCTAGTATTATCTGTTTTTTGCCCCTTTTTACAGTCTGCTTACTATTGACCTAGTGTAGAGTAACTGGTTAGTGTCTGATGTCATCCTTGATGCTAATCAAATGTACAAGTTCACTCAATTGGAAGAGAACCCTTTACTTGTGGTTTTAAATGCCTTATCTGTGTATGTGATTTTTTTTGGGGGGGAGGGGAGAAAACAACATTTTTTGGACTTCAGTATTTAATCAGCAAGAATATTTGTTTCTATGGAACTTTCTAGGCCACGCAGTAGTGTGGCTTTTCCATTTCAGACTTGTACTGTACAGCTAAGCTCATTAAACAGATTCTATGACCAAAGAATTTTGTGGCCATGTAATTGTGAAAAGCAAAGAATTTTGAATTCTGCACCTAACAGTGGATTCCACATGTATAACTGCCGTTTAATATACACACATGGCAGTTATATATATGTACAGATAGATCGCTATATTTTAACTGATGTGGAATTCTCCTACACCCTTGATACTGCAAAGGGCTATGAAGTGCTGTTGAATTCCAAAGACATGTTTGTGAGTATTATATGGAGCAGTCAATAACTTCTTGAACTTGTAGACTACTTGTGAATTAATAAGAAGTCACATGGCAATGTTAGTAAAAGCTGTAGGCTCGTATTATTGTGCTGTATTAATGAACTTCCTCCCCCCATTATAATTCCATCATGACTGATTACGAAGCCTGTGTATTATCATTTGGTAATTGTAACTGTGGCACAAATAACATTGTTTCTAGTATTTCTAGGCAATATACAGTAGCTGCAGAAATTCAAGAAATATCAGTCTGCAGCTTCAAGAGTATTTAAAATATTTGTTGTTTTAATGGAGAATTTAAAAAGAAAAAACTGCATGGACAAATATTAGGATAAAAGCTTGCTAGTTCCCACTCTGCTCCCCATTTCCCCCATGTGCATGGGTGCAATCAACCTGGTAAACTCCCTTAGTGGAGGAATTACTTAGCTTGATGAAGATGTAAAAAATCAGTGCTAAAGTATGAAAACACGTTGGTTTCTAATTTTAAATCAATCAGTCTGTTCAAAATAAATTATTAGATATCAAGGGTATTCAAACTGATTTTATTTAGATATAAATATGCCTTGTTTGTTTTGCAACTGGAATTTCCTACAAATGCCAGAGCAAACTGGGCGCCAGGTAGAGGGAAATGATTTGTTAAAATATAATGTAGTGATATTTTTCTTGATATTGCTGTACAATTCTCTCCCTACCTCATTCCCCCATTTTCAATTCTGTTTTCCTAGGCCTCTTTACAGTGCTAACGGTTGTTCTAACAATGTGATTGTGTAGGTTAGAGCTAGTGTGTTCTTTAAAAAGGCCACTTTTTGGAGACACATGGCTTTGGGATTGTGATAAAACATGCCACTATTTCAAAATATGTCTTAAAATTTGCTTGTTAGGTTTTTCCATTACTAGCTTATAACAATACCTACTACAGTGATGCCTCAGATTATTTTAAAATACATACACAAGTATTTTGATACACGATCTGCTACTAGATATAACATTGAAATTAATTTTCCTTTTCACATATTAATAGATGTTGGACACTCTCTCATATCTTTCCATTTAGGTGCTCGATTAATTAGTAGCCCAAAATTTTCTGCCTACCTTGAAGGTCTAATAAAAGAGAAACATACATTTAGAGTAATCTACATTGAGTTTTGAGTCATCTATCAATATACCTCAATGTTTTGTGAATTGGGCCATTAACCTTTACTAAAACAGATGAGCAACTGCTGGCAGCATCTTTCTTTTAAATAAATATTTGTTGAAGTAGGAAAAGCATTGTTAACACACTAATATGTAACAACTTTGTCCCTGAATTTTGGCTTTTCTGTAATTAAGGTCTGTAATGAGCCAGTTGAATTGACAGCAAATGGCTAAACAATCTGTATAGAATGCATTGCTTTAACATAAGGAAGATGTAATAAAATAAAACATACTTCATTCTTCATGTTCTTTTTGTATGTTGTGTACTGCTTTTTTGACCGCAGCATTATTGCTAAGATGAGTGGAAGAATGACATCTTTCTGAAACATGTAGTTAAGGCTGCTAATATCTTTAATAAATAAATATTAGCTAGAATTGTTATTACAAGGCTTGTGAAACTTTACTAATGCCCCCTTCCTATTTTTGTATTCCCCAGCAGGAACAGTTACTTAGCTAATTATGTGTAAATTATCTATAGAAATAACTACATTAAACCAGTGTTAAGGTTATACAAACACCCAAAAGTCAGGAAATGCCCCAGTTCAGATACTCACCCCAATTTCATTGTCATAATGGTTCAGTCTGTTGATTTACACTTTTTTAAATATATGTTTCCTTCTCTCCAAAGTATTTATTTTGATAATTTTGTCAGCACTACACACTTTCTTTTTAATGCAGAGCCTTCCTTGGGTGCAATTTAGAAGAGGAGATAGTTAACTACAGATTCAACTGTGAACTCAGGTGGCCTATATTTTAATATCAATCTTTCACTTTTGGTTTGTCGATCCCTCAAGGCACATTAGACAAAGGTTCCCTCCTCAGTCTAAAGCATGGAGACCTCTCTAATATTTTCGCACCTTACAGGGTCCCAAAGGACAGTGTCAAAATCCTGCCCTGCCACTGCATTTTCCATTGCATAGCTAAGTTAACCAGGCACAATAGATATTTATGAACTTAGTGAAGGACTGATACAAAAATGTACTGTGCATGTCAACTCAAAAGAGCTCATTGAGAACTATTTCCATGCCCAATTTCCACACGCCAACTATAAAGCTGATTTTAAAAAATTGCAAAAATGTTACCATCAAACATTGTTAACATCAAACAAACGGATGTCTGGGAATTATTTAAAAAAAAAGTCCATTTTGGATTGAACAAAAAATGTAGTTCGACCCAAAATGTTTCGTTTTCTGGCATTTTTAAAATGCTAGATTCAGAAAACGGCCAGAGGATTAGCTGCTATCCTTATAACCTTTAGCGCTGAGGTTAGGACACTCACCAAGATATGAGACCCCAGTTTGATTCCTCCCTCTGCTTGATGTAGTGCAGGTATTTGAACTTTAGTTTCCACCTCCTCAGAAGTGTTCCCTAACCAATGAGCTGAGGGTATTCTGGGGCAGATTTTTCTCAGTCTCTTCTTTGGAAGTTGTTCCACTTTGTATAAATAATTCAATAGTCATTGGAGCAGAGACTGGAACCCAGGTGTCCCTATTCCCAAGTAATGTCCTAAACACCAGGCTACAGACTCATTCTCATTTATTTTTTCTCTCTCTCTCTCTCTCTGGTCCAATGACTAATCAAGAATTTTATACACAGTGGAACAGCTTCAACAGGAGAGATTGAGAGAGACCTATCAAGAATACCTCATAGCCCAGTGGTTAGGAATGAAGTTAAAATGCAACAAAATTAAAAGTGAAAAAAGGAAATATTTTTCACATAGCATGTGATAATCCTATGAAACTCTGCAACAGGATATGGAGGCCCAGGGTTCAGCAGGATTGACATGTAAATAAAGAATATCCAGAGTATTATAGGGTAAATAAAAAAGCCTTCATGCTTCAGGGCATAAACCAGTCATTAACTGCCTTGAAGAAATTTCCCCTCTGGGACAGGTTATTCTATACTTATCCAATATAGAACTTTCTACATCTTCCTCTCA